TCGAGGTGGTGGTGCTGCTGATTGCGGTGATTTTGGGCACTTTCCAGGCGATGTGGGGTCGGGGCTAGGGTTGTGGCACTCTATTGTCCGTTTGGGGCAATTGGCGTTATGGCCGTGGTGCAGGTTGGCCTGCTGTGGTTCCGGGGTTGGAATTTCGTCTTCGATAGGCAACCGAGTGGTTTAGGCAGTTTCGGGGTCGGTGTTCTGGCTACGGTATTCGTGGTCGACTTGTTTCCGTTGGTTCGGCTAGGTGATGCTGCTTAGGAAGGGCTGCTTAATTTATGTTGTTTTGTTTTGGTATTTGGTTTAGTGTGTTAGTTTCTGTGTTTGTGGTTGTCGTTGTTTTTTAGGTTTGGGCCGTTGGCCCCTGTGCTCCCGAGTGTCATTTTCATTACCCTGTGGGGGTCCGACACTCGGAAATTACCCTGTGGGGGTCTTGTATTGTTGTTTTTGTGTTGTTATTACCCCTTTGGGGTCGTGGTCGTGTAGTTGGTTTGTTTAGTTCGAGTCTTTTCTAACGTTGCTAGCGGGATTCTAGGCAGGCTTCTGACCTGTCCTCCCATTTTATTCTCCCGTTGGGAGCTTTGTATTTTTATTCGCACATTTGTGCACTTTTGATTAATAATAGTATCTCTATCGTTCCGGAAAAAAAAAAAAAACAATATATTATTCTATTTTATATATTATTCAAAATATATTATTTTATTTTTATATATTATTAAAAAAACATTTATATATAATTTATTAAAAGTATACTATTTTTTACAAAAAACTTTTATTTATTTTTATAATAAAAAATAATAATGTCATTTCATTCTAGTTCTGTTCCTTCTGCATACCAAACGCATGAATGGCAAAATATGTTTCATTTCATTCCCATAATCATTTCATTCTTCAATTCATTTCATTCCTACGAAATTTCATTCCATCATACCAATCATGCCATTACTGCCCTCTTCTCATCTTGTATACCCTTTGACGTGATTTCTCCCTTTCCTTAGTTGCTTGAAGCTCACAAAATTCACTTTCCTTTGCATTTCAACATTCTCCGGTTAAGAAAGAAGTACTTGAGGTGACTGCAATTTTGAATGTTCTGAGGCGCATTGTAGTCGCTAGTAGTTAATTTTTTCAGCCGTTATATTTTTTCTTTCAGCCCTTTTGGCTGGCAAACATTTATGTGGGGTTAAATGTTATACTTCGTTTGCTTTTCTCATTGTTATGAACAGTTGAGGATGAGCTTTCGTTAATTTCCTACTTTTTTGTGTCTATTTATTTGCATCGATCGAGGTGGATTTGAGGGCGTTGAGGGTTAGCTTGGGTTGGTATCTGAACTTTAGCTTATGGAATACTCGAGACATCAGTATTTCCATTTCCTCCCCTGAAATTTTTGATTCAAGTTTCACCTTAATCTGCAGTCAGGGGTTTATAATCGCTTCTTCTATAAATATGAACGTGGAAGATTTGTCCACAATTTTTTTTTTCTTTTTATTTTTGTCCAGTTAATTTTTTTGTTTTTTGTATATATAAATTACCCCTTTGGTGCTTATCTTTTTTTTTTTTTCTTTTTTATTTTCCAAACGGCAACCAAAAGTCTTTGGTGCTTATCAGAATCCGTGATTTTGCTGCGTGTTCAATTATTCTAAGATTTTTAATCAGGTATGCATCGTGAACTCAATTTTCTCTGTACCATCTGACCAACTTAGCTTAAGAACACGATGAATTAGAGTGTCGAATTAGTGAAGAATGTTTAATTTTACTGCACTTTAAGGTTCTTGACGATGTGCGCCGCAATTTAGCTTTTGTTGTATGAATATTTCGAAACTTTGATTATTTATTTTTTTGGTAATATGTTCGTTTACTTGGTGGTGGGTTATGGGTTATGATTCCTTTTCAGTATACAACATTTCGTCTTAATAAATTTTCAGTCCTTACCTTCTACACTGGAAACTGTATGTGTTGGAAAGATTATGATTTTGCACAATATTTGGCAATTATGCATTCATTTCAAGAAAATGAGAGATTCTTGCTATTTGAAACTTTTTCTTTTCTAATTAAGTTGGGGAAGAATCTGTGATAGAAGGATTATGGATGTGAAGTATTGGCAAAATCGAAAATGGCTCATTCTCAAAACCACAATAAAAAGCATCAACCACAACATTCATCAAAAACACCTTCAGTTGGTTCAGACAACAAGAAGCAGACAGGAAGGCAAGCTAAAGGGAAAACCCCACATCCTCATGTCTCAAAACCACTCCCTTCAAATTGGGATAGATATGGTGAAAATCTTGGTTTGGATTCTGAAGAAGCCCTGACTAGCTCCAGTCAGCCGACCGAGTTTGTATTGCCAAAAAGTAAAGGTGCAGATTATGCTCACTTAATTTCGGAGGCAAAAGATCAATCTAGTTCAAGTCGGTTTATGGATGTTTCTCATTTGTTTGGTGATGTTATTACTGGTATGTCTTCTGCCTTTAATTTAATACGGCGTGTTCAGTTTCTAAAGTTATCCGTTGCCTTTGATTTAACATGGCGTATTCAGTTTATCCATTACGTTTGATTTAACATGGTGTTTTCAGTTTCTAAAGTTTTCGTTTTTATGAAATGTAGACTTCTGCTTATGAATATTGGCATTTTAGTGTTTTCCATTAAGTGTCACCTAGATGTTGCAGAGGGAAATACTGTCGTATGAATAAAAAGGTTAACTGATGTTTATTGCTCATGTAAAAGATGCTTTTGTACTAGTGAACCAATTTTCATATTGTTGGAATGAGGTCTCTTCCCCAAAAGCTTGTTAGCATTTGATGATGGCTTGGGTTCTTTCTTCTGCTTTCGTTTTTTTATCCTTCTTTTAATTTTATTAAGTTTTAGTATTTCAGGAAATGTCACTTTGATATTGTGGGTGCTTGGTTGAGTGTTTTGTGGTAGCTGATAACTTTCTGGCTTCCAATAAGCACTTTGGTGTTACTTATTAAAAATGTACACTTAGATGATTCTTTTTCTTACAGCTGGCTACATAGAATTATACACAACATGGCATGGCATTTATTTATATATTGTGTCTTAGACTTTACTCAGGATTTTGGTCCAATGCTTATTTCGGCCAAGGGGCAAAGCTTGCTTTCATGGGCTGAAGATGACGATTTCGAGTTTGAAGGGAAAACAAGCACCAGTTTTGAGGTGATTTTTTTTTTCCTTTCAGGCTAATTGATGGTCCACGAGGTCTTATAATCCCCCACCCAGCTATGAATGCTCCCATAGTTCTTTATAAGCATTAACTATCAAAAAACTTGTAATCCTGATCTTTTGTATAAATGTTAAGCACATTATTTGATAGAAGGCTGCAATCTTTTATCGTGTCATGGCCAGAACTAAGACTTAATGCTTGATGACCTTTAGAGTAAACTCAAACCAGCTGGCACACAGGCCGCAGAATGAGTACTAAGCACTAAAACCAAAAATACAATATTTGACAATTCTAACTTGTTTCTTGGCTCTATCCATATAATGTCAATTTTACCTTTATCCGATTTTTATGCCTATATTTTTCATTTTATTATTAGCTTGCTAGTTCTCGTAATACCTTATCATGTATAATTACCCAATGCCAAACTAGTCCTTCAACATTTGATGATTTACATGTCAACTCTTGGATCAATACAACAGTTACCTTTGTGCATATGGCTTTTCATGTTTTCCATTGGTATATATGTGCTCTCAATCTTTTCATGCCATATAAGTATTATCTTTGTTTATAATATGTTTTGTTGCTTAGAATGGTATTCATCGCCTGCAATCACGTGTTTGTGTGTGTCTGCCTCTTCTTATTTTTTATTATTTTTTTATTTTTTATTTTTTCATCTAATTTTTATTGCTCCTTTTCCTTTTCAACTAATTACATTTCTTATTGTGCAGGCACCTTTTCTTTCGCTTGATCTGAAAGCACTTTCTGAACAACTTGCAAAGGCAAAGCTGTCAGAGAGGTGTTTTCTAGAGCCAGATCTATTTCCTTCGGAGCTGGTATAAGAATTTCATCTTTAATTCTGCTAGTTATTTATCTCTGATCTATTTTTAATGAGAGAGAGCATTCATACAAATGGCTTTTCTGTTTTTTCAACAAATTATAAAGAATATCAATGGCTTTTGATTCTCCTTAAGAATATCAATGGCTATTGCCTTTCCCTGGCCTTATCTATTCTAGTGTTGATTTATGATGCCCGATTTCAAAATATTGTGCCAGTTGGACGAGTTACAAGCATACGATGAAGACAAATACGATCCTAAAACTCGTACATCTTCAACTGAAACAAAATCCAGATTCTCATCTTCTCTCCATAACCAAGAATTTCGTCAAAAGCATGGACCTTTATCCTCCACCATTACATTGGCCAGAGATCATCATCCTGTTCAAACCCCTGCACGAGTATTGGAACCTTTGAAGCAAGAAAACATTGGAATCTTGCAGTCACAAGATACAGCGAGGAGCATTTCACGAGAATCTGTTACAGAGGAGATATTTGTTTCCACTGCTAAAAGCCCGTCGATATTTGAGGCGGTAAGTGCAGAAGCAGAACTAGACATGCTTTTAAGCTCTTTAGGGGAAACTAAGATTGTTGAATCAAAAGGTGGAAATGTGAATAATCATGAGCATGCAGTGAAATCGGCTAATATTGATGATGATATTGATAAACTGCTTGAGGAGACATCTTATTTGACGATTTTAGATGGTGGACGGGGGTCAAATGAGGTAAGTGCAATCGCTGATGCTAGATCTTCCGCCTTGAATGCCGACTCTAAGTCTAAACTTTTGGACGATTTTGATTCGTGGTTGGATACAATTTGATTTTTCTGTGTAGATGATTTTGATAATGGTTAGATACGTGATCTTACTGTTGCTAGCTTGTTGTGATGATGTGATATGGGTTATTGGTTAATTTGTTAACCCCTGACATTGTAAGTGTTGATTTCTGTAAACTCTGTTGCACTTAAATGTGTTGTAGTTTAGAACAGTGCTGATGGGAAAAAAAATGCTTTTTTTGTGAAACTTTAGAGTATGTCTTGGGAGCATTTCTAATGCATTGGTCTATCAAGTAGAATGACCGATAACGCCACAGAGAAATGTTGTGATACGTGTAAAAATAGATTAGTCACTTGGGTCTATTGCTATAAAATTATTATTTTATAAAATTTGTAATAGTAACATTTTATTATAAACTCTAACATATTAACTATTCCAGACTCGTTGAATCACGCGCTGGCAGATGACTAACATAACAAAAAAAGATCAATATCAAGATATTCCAAGTTTTAAGTACTGAAACACTCGCAAATCACCATCATAAATGAAAAGAAACAGAAACAGTGGCAAATAGTCAAAAGGATAGAGAATTTTTCAGATGCCCACAATGTTGGTTTATCAAAAGCATACTGAATCCACTACTCACTCATTACAAGCATTGCTGCTCAAAGTTTTATGTCAGACAATATTGATAAACAAGATAACTGGACTTTACGTATATGCCTTGTAAGTTTTACCTGAGCTCTAATAATTGCACTGCGCTTGTCTTGCTCAAATTTGGCTCTCTCCGCTTCTTGTGCAGCTAGCTACCTGCTTAGCTTCTATGGCGGCACTGAATTCCCTTCCAAAGGTCAGGCTCGTAATCGACACATCATCCAGTGCAATGTTGAAGAAGGCAGCTCTCTCAGTCAATATTTTCCTGATTTCCCTACTGACATTCTGCGTTATGCAAAGTCCCGACAATATATCATCAACATTATCGGGTGGTAATTTCGCGTAACTCTTTACATTTGATTGATTCATTGTTTACTGTAGGCCAATCATTTTTAAGAAGCACCATGACATCAACGACTTGTTCTAGCAGTTATTGCTCGGAAAAGAAATCAAGACATCTTACTCCTTACCTCTCTCTGGGTAATGAGCTGGCTTGCATTGTATTGAGCAACAACAGCTTTCAGAGTCTCGTGGATTATAATTGAAGGCAGGACTCTTTCGTTGTAGTTTTCACCAAGAGTTCGATAAATGGTGGGCAACTGGTCGGGTGAGAACACGAAGACCAATCTTGACCTGTAAAGATAGAATAATGTAAGTGTAGATAATGAGGCTCACGGTACAGGAGTAAATAGGATATAGTATATACTTCTACCTGTGAAATAAAATATTTGTAAACATACATACATTATATAAAAAATAAAGTTATATACATATATCATCACTTGTGTACAAGATACAAAAGAAAAACATATATATCATCACATGTGTACAAGGAACAAAAGAAAAATATAACAAAACAAGGAGACTAAAGGATTTGAATACATGACCTCTCACAGAGTAAAGAATAAGCATATAAAGGTAACCACTCCACCAAGGATATTTTGTTGAAAAGATGTCAACAAGTATATACATATAGAATTAATTCAGTACAAAAATGCGTTTTCCAGTTTTGCACATTGGTTCATGAAATTGAAGTTGAGAGCATTGTTGTGATAAAAAAAATTTCGTGAAAAGAGTCTCTGTTTGGGAGATATAAAGGTTTAAAAATGTGAAAAACTTAGAATTTTGCTTCGAAATCAAATTAACCTTAGAAATAAAAAACTTAGAAATATTGTGGTTGATGCTTTTACTGTGGTTTTGAGAGTGAGCCCTTTTCGATTTTGCCAATGACTTCACATCCATAATCCTTCTATCACAAATTATTCCCCAACTTAATTAGAAAAGAAAAATTTTTAAATAGCAAGAACGCTTATTTTCTTGAAATGAATTCATAATTGCCAAATATTGTACAAAATCATAATCTTTACAACAAATACAGTTTCCAGTGTAAAAGGTAAAGACTGAAAATTTATTAAGTCGAAATGTTGTATACTGAAAAGGAATCATAACCCATAACCCACGACCAAGTAAACGAATATATTACCAAAAAAATAAATAATCAAAGTTTCGAAATATTCATACAACAAAAGTTAAATTGCGGCGCACATCGTCAAGAACCTCAGAGTGCAGTAAAATTAAACATTCTTCACTAATTTCGACACTCTAATTCATCGTGTTCTTAAGCTAAGTTAGTTGGTCAGATGATACAAGATTCACTGAGAAAATTGAGTTAACGATGCATATCTGATTAAAAATCTTAATTGAATACGCAGCAAAATCACGGATTCTGATAAGCACCAAAGACTTTTGGTTGCCGTTTGTTTGAAAAAAAAAAAAAAAAAAAAGATAAGCACCAAAGGATATTACTTGTCTCTCTCACCCCACACATATTACTTAATTTATAGGCCCGGTTTGGTAGATAGCGGATTGAAGATAAATGAGCGGATTGGACTTAATTGAGAGGTTTGACCCGTCAAATCCGCTATTGAGCTTGTTTGGTAAATAACTTATTTGAAAAGCTTTTTGGGTCCAAAACTCTAATTTAGAAAAAACTCATTAGAGAAGCTTTTTAGGATAGAGGATTCACAATTGAGAGGTTTTACTTAGAACTTTTTAATTTGTCTTATTTATTTTACAATTTACATTGGTTTATAGAGCTAATAAATAATAATATGTCGTCCATATGATTAATTTATCTAGAAAAATAAAAAATTCATAACTTCTTCATCAAGTGTTAGTAAATTTAAAATATATATATATTTATAAATTACCAATTAAAGAATATTAAATGTTTTAATATATTTATATTAAAAGAATACACCCTAAATAATAAAATGTCCTTATTGGTCATTTTGCAATGTCAAACAGCTATAAGCTTTCAGCTATTTACCAAATACTTATTTAAAAACCGCTAATGCAATCCGCTGGTCAAATCAGCTAATATAATAAAGAATACACCCTAAATAATAAAATGTTCTTATTGATCATTTTGCAATGTCAAACAACTATAAGCTTTCAGCTATTTACCAAATACTTATTTAAAAACTGCTAATGCAATCCGCTGGTCAAATCAGCTAATATAATCTGCTACTCGCTATCAATCCGCTATCCTTATCTCCTATCGCGAAAGAAGGCCATACAATTTATTATGTTTCCAGTTCAACTAGTCTCTCTAACCCACATATCCAAAACCCAACAAATTGCAGTCATGCATTGCTAGTGCCCCTCCAAGCGAGCACATATTGCCGGGTAAAACTCACACGCATCTTCTTCTCTTGTCAGATTTTACTTATGGCGTTTTTTCACTTAATACAATTTGCTCAATTTTTTGCCTTTTGTTGTTCTTTTTGTTCTCTGTGGCAAGAACTAATAAAGGGACCATGATTCCATCTACTTCAAGCAACTTATCGTCTTTACACCCATTCTATGTTAGTTTTTTTCCGGGATTGCGTATGCTGGAGATTGATGTTGTTCGTCTCATGATGTTTCTTACCCAGCTGGAGATAACGTTAGATTCTTCAGTCTTCTCGGATTATGTTTTTTTTATTATTATTATTATTATATGTATGTAAATTTGGTCCCTTGAATCTGTATGTTGATTGATATAATATGGGTTAATTTAGGCGTTTGTGTTCCTTGCTGTGATTTAAGGTGAAATGATTGATTTTGTACTTTTGTAATATGGGTTAATTTATGGGCTTGTGTTCCTTGCTGTGATTTAAGATGAAATGATTGATTTTGTGCTTTTGTAGGTTTGGTTTTGTGT